ACACGTCCTTTCCATTTATTGTCGTTGGTCAGCCTGGTGCAAGCTGGTGAGTATACCAGAGACACGTCCTTTCCATTTTTGTCGTTGGTATTATAAGCCTTGTGTAAGCTGGTGAGTATACCAGAGAAACGTCCTTTCCATTTATTGTCGTTGGTATTATAAGCCTGGTGCAAGCTGGTGAGCATACCAGAGACACGTCCTTTCCATTTATTGTCGTTGGTCAGCCTGGTTTAAGCTGATGAGTATACCAGAGACACGTCCTTTCCATTTTTGTCGTTGGTATTATAAGCCTTGTGCAAGCTGGTGAGTATACCAGAGACACGTCTCTTCCATTTTTGTCGTTGGTATTATAAGCCTGGTGCAAGCTGGTGAGCATATCAGAGAAACGTCCTTTCCATTTATTGTCGTTTGTTTTATAAGCCTGGTTTAAGCTGGTGAGCATACCAGAGAAACGTCCTTTCCATTTATTGTCGTTTGTATTATAAGCCTGGTGCAAGCTGGTGAGCATATCAGAGACACGTCCTTTCAAGTTATTGTCGTTTGTATTATAAAGCCTGGTGCAAGCTGGTGAGCATACCAGAGACACGTCCTTTCCAGTTATTGTCGTTGATCAGCCTGGTTTAAGCTGGTGAGTATACCAGAGACACGTCCTTTCCATTTATTGTCGTTGGTCAGCCTGGTGCAAGCTGGTGAGTATACCAGAGACACGTCCTTTCCATTTTTGTCGTTGGTATTATAAGCCTTGTGTAAGCTGGTGAGTATACCAGAGACACGTCCTTTCCATTTATTGTCGTTGGTATTATAAGCCTGGTGCAAGCTGGTGAGCATACCAGAGACACGTCCTTTCCAGTTATTGTCGTTGATTAGCCTGGTTTAAGCTGGTGAGGATACCAGAGACACGTCCTTTCCATTTATTGTCGTTGGTCAGCCTGGTGCAAGCTGGTGAGTATACCAGAGACACGTCCTTTCCATTTTTGTTGTTGGTATTATAAGCCTGGTGCAAGCTGGTGAGTATACCAGAGACACGTCCTTTCCATTTTTGTCGTTGGTATTATAAGCCTGGTGCAAGCTGGTGAGCATATCAGAGAAACGTCCTTTCCATTTATTGTCGTTTGTTTTATAAGCCTGGTTTAAGCTGGTGAGCATACCAGAGAAACGTCCTTTCCATTTATTGTTGTTGGTATTATAAGCCTGGTGCAAGCTGGTGAGCATACCAGAGACACGTCCTTTCAAGTTATTGTCGTTTGTATTATAAGCCTGGTGCAAGCTGGTGAGCATACCAGAGACACGTCCTTTCCATTTATTGTCGTTGATCAGCCTGGTGCAAGCTGGTGAGTATACCAGAGACACGTCCTTTCCATTTATTGTCGTTGGTCAGCCTGGTGCAAGCTGGTGAGTATACCAGAGACACGTCCTTTCCATTTTTGTCGTTGGTATTATAAGCCTGGTGCAAGCTGGTGAGCATACCAGAGACACGTCCTTTCCATTTATTGTCGTTGGTATTATAAACCTGGTGCAAGCTGGTGAGTATACCAGAGACACGTCCTAACGCGTGTGTGTATATGCTACGGTGTCCTAACGCGTATGTATATGCTACGGTGTCCTAACGTGTGAGTGTATATGCTAAGGTGTCCTAACGCCAGTGTGTGTATGCTACGGTGTCCTAACGCGTGGATGTATATTCTACTGTGTCCTAACGTGTGTGTGTATATGATACGGTGTCCTAACGCGCGTGTACATATGCTATGGTGTCCTAACGCGTGTATGTATATGCTATGGTGTCCTAACGTGTGGGTGTATATGCTACGGTGTCCTAACGCGTTTGTGTATATGCAACGGTGTCCTAACGCGTGTGTGTATATGCTACGGTGTCCTAACGTGTGTGTGTATATACTACGGTGTCCTAACGCGGGTCTGTATATGCAACGGTGTCCTAACGCGTGTGTGTATATGCTACGGTGTCCTAACGTGTGGGTGTATATGCTACGGTGTCCTAACGCGCGTGTGTATATGCTACGATGTCCTAACGCGTGTGTGTATATGCTACGGTGTCCTAACGCGTGTGTGTATATGCTACGGTGTCCTAACGCGTGTGTGTATATGCTACGGTGTCCTAACGCGTGCGCTCAAAAACCGGTGTTCACGGTGCGTTAATCCGTGTAGATTCGTAGCGGATGTACGCAAAGTGTGCACCTCGCGATCGGTTTTTACGTTTACTCCGTAAACAAATAATTACGTAAACATAATTTAACTTACAGACGCGGTTGGTTTTAAATCTTTCCTCGGATTTCTGCGTAAAATGTAATTGATTTATTTATGGCCTCATTTAGGAGTTTTATGGGACTATTACGCCGTCGGCGCTTGGCGGGTCAAGGCAATAATCTAAATACTAATGGGACGGTTGAGTTCCCACTACAGCAATGATAACTCATTATCCCCGAATGTCCAATGTGTAATTTCTAATGTTTGAATGACACATTGTTCTAAATAAACCGTGACGTGGAAATAGATAGTTGTTTTAAAATCAATAATATTTCCGCTATTCAAAGTGTGCAGTGAGGCCATTTTATCAACTGTCATTTCTGAGACGTACATCCAATCGCATTTTTCGCTTCAACAAACTCTCACGTTAATTTCAAGATTTACAGTATATACTATTCAAAAGAAGTTAATAAACACACGATTCTTTCATATGACTATGGTCAGGGCTCAGTCACACATTCAGGATTTTTACTGCCGTCCTTGACAGGACCATTCCCGATTAAAATTTGTCATAAGTCTGATCAAGATCCTGTGATTCGTGGCGGGAAATTCACAAACAATTAGATCCCGATTCAGGCGTTTCCAGTCGAATTCGTCCCAATTCTCCCGTTCTCAATCCGAATCTGATCCGATTTGTATCTCCCGCATGGTACAAAACGACCGAATCTGTCCTGACAGCGTCCCGATTCTCCCGAATGCGATCCGACAGAGATCAGGCAGTGACCGGACAGTGAACCGACAAAGGCGGTTCGCATTCGGCAAGATCTGTACGCAATTTGAACTCAATCGCCAAGAAACGGCAATGAAAAGTTCATGCCCGTTCATCACGACAGCGTCCCGATCCACAGGACACCGTCCAGACAACACAGGACATTGTTACGATTTTGATCCAATACAGCAGAATCTGTCACGACATAGTCACGATTGTAACCCGACTAGACAAAATCGGCTGAGTTTCCCGAATGTTACTGGACGCACCATACTGTCGGGAGTGCTTGGCCGACCTCTCTGGACCTTTCCCGATCCGTAGGGCTATGTTGCGAACGTATACGACTGCGTTCAGACAATGATAGGTCATTCCAGATTATTGAGGATATTAAACCGACTTTTTCCTGTCGTAGCGCGGTCAGATCTAAAACGGGAGCCATAATCGGCACTGTGTGAACCTGGCCTTTTACAGCGAGAAAGCGAGAAAGCAAGGAAGCGAGGAAACGATAGAGCGAAAAAGCGATATTTCCAGTAAAACCGTAAATTAAAAAGTGCCTGCCGATATTCAGTGATCCATCCATTCCTATAATTCTCACAGCTATTTTGCCTCTTATTTTACCATGAATATTTTCTTGTATTGTAGTAAATTAGCAAGATTCACATACACTAAGAAAGAAACATCTTTGCGTGTTTAAAACATTTTTTCGCTATTCCTATTTTTCATTATTATTCATAATTCTTCCTCATTTCCAATCAGCCATGATTGATATATATTTGGATTTTAAATGATTTATTTAGAACGTATTGACATGACCCGCCACGCGCTTTCGGCATGAAACTCCTAAATAGGGCCATAAATCAGTCACCTACTTTTTGCGCATAAATATATAGTCGTAGTATCACCTATGTCTGTACAGTTGAATTATGTTTCAGTAAAAAGTGAGACAATTTCAACATTCCCTCCATATAGGTATCATTTGAAATGTGACTGGAAACAATCACTTGTGTTACCGATTTCTCGTCTCGCGTCATCGCTTTCTCGTCTTGTGCTCTCGCTTTCCCGTCTTGTGCTTTCTCGTCTTGTGCTATCGCATTCTTGTCTCTTGTTATTGCTTAATCATCTCGTCTTATCGCTTTCCTGTCTCGTGTTATTGCTTTATCGTCCCGTGTTATCGCTTTCCTGTCTCGTGTTATTGCCTTATCGTCTCGTGTTATTGCTTAATCATCTCGTCTTATCGCTTTCCTGTCTCGTGTTATTGCTTTATCGTCTCGTGTTATTGCTTAATCATCTCGTCTTATCGCTTTCCTGTCTCGTGTTATTGCTTTATCGTCCCGTGTTATCGCTTTCCTGTCTCGTGTTATTGCCTTATCGTCTCGTGTTATTGCTTAATCATCTCGTCTTATCGCTTTCCTGTCTCGTGTTATTGCTTTATCGTCTCGTGTTATCGCTTTCTAGCGGCCGTAATTGAAGACGATAAAGCGATGTCCCCACTCGGCCACCATATTTAACCACTAGGCTTCCTCACCGACCCGTCACGTCTCGACGATTAGGCTCAGTAAATTTCTTCAAGTGCATTGCAATTTTTTTTTGACGGCCGTTAATCGACACACCAAAAAAGGTTGCACAGGCGACTTAGACGTCTAAGGCGTCGCAATTCGCTGTGCAGAGTTGCGTCCCTTGGGCGCGACAATAACCTATGACCGTGGCTTCGAATTCCGGTTCGCCACAGTAATGTTTCAAGGTTGTCACACCCATACACGATACCGTGTGGCCTGCATCACTTCGGGATTTCCTCCCACATTAAGTATAACTGGGATACTGTTTCAGTCGTCATTAAATCCAACTCACTCACTCACTCACTCAATGATCTGAAATGTGTCAATCCAGCTGAGCTTACTGGGAACACTACCGTCTGGATTAACTGAAAAACCACGCCGAAAACTGAAAATCTCCGCAAAGGGGCGTTAAACTAACTCATTCACTAAAGGATTTAAGTTAAAAGTGTACGTTGTTGTTCATTCTGTTGTAGGCTTGACGTCTTCGTTACCAACAACACCTGTGAAGTACACACTTTACGCCGGTTACAAAACCTGGAACGAGGTTTACGCAATATGTCAAGGTCAAGGTCAAAACATGCTCACACTGAATACATTAACGAAATATAACAACTTTCAGGAAATCAACGCTGATTGGAAAAATAATTCACAAATGTGAGTATATTGTTGGCGAATCAAGATTATCCTTGTGTAGGTATTGATATAATTAAAAGGAACAAGAATTGGATCAAAGGGCAGTTACCTCAAATTTGATTTATAATTTCAGCCACTCTTTTTGTTCGCCGGTTGATATTTCGGGACAGACTATTACATATTTGAGGGTAGGATGGGTTGGCGGATTTGGGGGGATGTCGTAGAAAAATTATCTCCAGAAAGGTTTAACAAAACAATGGCGTGTTTTGAAGCTTTGACCGACAAGAAACAAAACTGCCTGTGACAAAATTCCCAAGCACCACTTACGAATACTTAACGGCGAGTTGCTCAATGGTTTACCCTTATTACAGAGATGCACCTTGTGCATCCGTGAACAATTGAGTTGACTGTGCTAGGTTTGTGACGGGTGACATCGGCGCTCCAGGACACCCTCAACTTTTGGCCAACACCTGATATCACATACAAAACCGATGTGTATTGCAGGACAAGAGACTACTGGACTGGACTTCATCAACCTGAACCGAACAACGCCAACGTATCAAACCTAAGATGGTCCACGGACTGTGAGCCTCTTGGATGGGTCATCTGGGGTGGTAACAATGAACCCGATCATCTAGCCGATCACCGATGTATGCGACTACGCGATGAAGGGCCCACTGGGTTCATGACCAGGGAATGCAGCGCCCGATACCAGATTGTCTGCGAGGAATACACAGGTGTGTATTTATCCTCAGTAATCCAATGGTTTGTCCACCTGTAAACAACACCAACAATACCACATTTTGGACCGAACACGGCGGTAGGAGGGTAAAAAATATAAACAAACTAGAATCTCGTGTTGAACTGATCTTGTAACATTTTGGATTTAAAGTTGTTGTTTTTTGTTATGCCAAAGACAAGTACATCAAACTTGTCATAAACGAGTCAAAACGTAGCAGTTAGCAGTTAAAATCAACATTTTAATCTCGACTAGACGCTTCATATAATGTCTTTAAATGAGATCTTTTACACTCTCTCTCATACAATAACCCTCTCGATTCCGAAATATTGATTTAACAAAGGAAAACCGACACAAAATACTGATATAACCTCGACAGTTATTCCCTTTGGGCGAATACAGGGTATGTAAATATTTACAATACTACAATAGTAGGCCATTGTTTCCTCTCAGAACTGCCCGTTTAAGTTCGTTTTCGAAACTTAACCTGACGCATCCACCTATATAGACTCGTGAGGTCCTTACACAGAGAATTATCATGTGGCAGTAAAAGATGGACTTTTATTAGACTGTTTCTCCCTTCGAATCCCTTATATGGACAGTGTTTCTTGTTTAATTTCTTTCTCTATGCTTTGTTGCAGGTGTTTGCTCTTTTGAAATTATTAAGTTAATGAAGACGTCCGGACTGACCTTCCTTTGGGAGGCGGCTGGGATGACAATACAAGAATGCATGGATGCTTGCAGAAATTATTCGTCAGGGTCCGAGGAATGTGTGGCTTTCCATCAACTAGCCTCATCTGGCGGGACACCCTTCTGTCAATTTTATGGTCGGGAGTCGGTTTTCGTTAAAAGTAATCCGTCCCTAGTAGCTGACAGTGAAGCAAAAACATACGTCAAAAGATGCATCGAAGGTAAACGACCGAAAATATCCACGATAGGTACCATTGTGTTAATTATTATTATTTACAGATCAAAATTTTTAAAAATGCAGCAAAGAGGGTTTGGGCGATCCTTGTACAGTCTGGCTGGTTAGGCTCATCATCAGCTCAGGGCCCGTGTCTTCTCTACACGCAGCCCAGACAGCGAATGGGACTTCTCCCAGATTGGTTTGTTGTTTAACGCCTCACTCAGCAATATTGCAGCTATATGACGGCGGTCTGTAAATAATCGAGTCTGGACCAGACAATCCAGTGATTGATATCATGAGCATCGATCTACGCAATTGAGATACGATGACATGCATCAACCAAGTCAGCGAGCCTGACAACCCGATCCCGTTAGTCGACAAGCATATTCGCCTTTTACGGCAAGCATGGGTTGCTGAGGACCTATGCTAGCCCGGATCTTCAAAGCGCGGCCTCGTCAAACCCACCCAGAACTTTTCGGAGAATGTGCAGACTCCCCAACACTGCATCCTTCTGCATCACCCAAATTGTCAGAAGTGCTATATTCCCGGTAGCAAACCCGGGTACTCTCCTAATGTCAGTCAACAGATTGGGAGGTACCAAACCTAAGGCACCGAGAACAATGGGGAGTCGGGACAACCTGGTACTTGGGATGTAAAAGCGTGACATTTCGAAAGCGAGGTCCGCATATTTGCCATGCTTTTCCTTAATCTTGTCAATCAAATTAGTGTAAAAAAGGACAGAAAAGATCGATGATATAAAGGATTTCATTGGACTTATCCAAAAGGACAAGATCAGGATTGTTGGCCTGGATACGTCTGAGGCTGACAACGGGCCTATTCCAATGAATTTAATATTTATTGAAAGTGGTTACTGATAGGTAACTTTATATGCCTGCCGCACTCAACAATATTCCAGCTACATTTCTGCGGTCTGTAAATAATCGAGTCTGGACCAGACAATCCAGTGATTGACATCATGAGCATCAATCCATGTAGTTTGTTTGTTGTTTAATGCCACACTCAGCAATATTCCTGCTATATGACGGCGGTCTGTAAATAATCGAGTCTGGACCAGACAATCCAGTGATTGACATCATGAGCATCGATCCACGCAATTGGAATCGATGACATGCATCAACCAAGTCAGCGAGCCTGACCACCCGATCCCGTTAGTCGCCTCTTACGACAAGCATAGTCGCCTTTTACCTCAAGCATGGGTTGCTGAAGACCTATTCTATCCTGGATCTTCACGGGTCCAATCCATGTAGTAAGCTTACGACATGCACCAACCAAGTCAGCGAGCCTGACCACCCGATCCCTTTAGTCGCCTTTTAAGACAAGCATAGTAACCTTTTACGGCAAGCATAGGTTGCTGAAGACCTATTCGGCCTGGCAGGAGTACTGTAGTGCCGCGTCAAACAAAAAGCAAACACTTACTTTTTTATGCAAACTGGACGGCGTGTGCTACCGGTAGGACAGGCAATCGGCGTACATCTGGTGCCAGTTTAAGTGATCCATCCACGCGGTGGAATCTGTTTCGGTGGGTGATCGAGATTGGTTATTCTGTCTATGACGTTTTATATGTCTTCCCGCAGGTGTGTATGCCCCGAAGGCCCCGAAAGTTGCAGCCAATGATGACATGGCACCGGTAGTTGTCTGCAACTCAAGCGTTGATGAAACATCATCTGTTTTTCATTCAGTTTCTACTCAAACACAACTACTTTCAATTTCGCCAACGCCTACGCCAGTGGGTCCTTCTTCGCTTCTGACAACGTCCTTGCAAGAGTTGACATCGCCATTGGTGCCCAGTGTCCATGTAACAGTCGACCCTTCGTTTCAGTCAACGTACGCGTCCATGCAAAAGTTGACCTCACCATTGGTGCCAAGCGTCGACAAAGCATTCGAATCTTCATTTCAGTCAATGTCCATGCAAGAGATGACATCGCCGTTGATTCCAAGAGTCCATGTAACAGTCGACCCTTCGTTTCAGTCAACGTACGCGTCCGAGCAAGACATGACCTCACAGTTGATGCCAAGCGTCCACGAAACATTCACTGTGTCGGTTTTCGATGCATCACCGGTTCTCGATGCGTCGCCAAGTGTATCCGACTGGGAAGGGTCCGTTCAGTCGATGGGGTCAGATTCCAATTCCAAATCTTCTCTGTACACCAAAGCTCCTAATCCCCATAAAGATCCGACTTCATTGGAATCAAAGACGTCCAGTGACGAACATCCGTTGCCTTCAAGTATTCCCGATGGAAAAAATGTAACTCTGTCAACACTGAAGTTGAAAGATGCTTCTTTGGCTCCATCCGAATCAAGTGTATATGGTAAGTTGTCCCTGAGGAAGAATAGGTCTTCAGCAACCCATGCTTGCCGTAAAAGGTGACTATGCTTGTCGTAAAAGGCGACTAAAGGGATCGGGTGGTCAGGCTCGCTGACTTGGTTGATGCATGTCATCGATCCCAATTGGGTTGATCGATGCTCATGATACTAATCACTGGATTGTCTGGTCCAGACTCGATTATTTACAGACCGCCGACATATAGCTGCAATATTGCTGTGTGCGGCGTTAAACAACAAACCAACCAACCAACCCTGAGGTTCTAGAGTTATGAACTGTTTGAGTGAGTGACTGAGTAACTATGGTTTTTAGCAATATTCCAGCACTATCACAGAGTTGACACCAAAAAATAGGCTTCACACGTTGTACATATATTGGGAATCGAATCCGGGTCTTTGCCGTTACGGGCGAGCGCATTAACCACTAGACTACCCCATCGCAATATAAACTGTCTGGGGTGTTTTGGTTGTTTAACGCAGCATTCATGACAACGGGTTGGAAATAATCGAGTCTGGCAAGACAGTGCTGTCGGGGTGTACGAACGTGACCATCCGATCGACGAAGTCACCTTTATCGACCAATATATACTCTTTTTCAATACATTTGATGACATTGTAAGCGATCTTCCTACTCTGTAAATGAATGGTTTGACCTCTTGCCCCTTGTCTTGTTCCTATACCTAGGTCTAGTAGCAGAACTTTGTTCCGAGACCCTGTTTTTGTCGTTAATTAGTATTCGCAATATCGTGTACGAAGAGGTGACTGCTAAGTACACTGTCTACTGTAGCGGTTCACTTGTACAGATCATGATCTGGACTTTGAGAGCGACGCTTTAACATGTATCGTGTGACTGACAGGTCTGTATGCTGCGCACGTGACCCGTGTTTAAACTACCTTTAAATAGGTCTTCAGCAACACATTCCTGCCGTAAAAGGCGACTACGCTTGTCGTAAAAGGCGACTAACGGGCTCGCTGGCTTGGTTGATGCATGTCATCTATCCCAAATTGTGTGTATCGATGCTCATGATATTAATCACTGGATTGTCTGGTCCAGACTCGATTATTTACAGAGAGCTGTCATATAGCTGGAATATTGCTAAGTGCGGCGTTAAAAAACCAACCAACCAACCTCTAAATACTAGTATATTGGGATCGCCTTTCTGTTTACCATGGACATGTGAAAGGAACATATTTCTTCACCTGAGGGTGAAAAATGGCATATTCTGATTATTTTTCCACAGAGGTTACCCTCTGCACCTGCAGCTGCAAGGACGACGACAACACTGACCTTGACGAATTGGACCTTGCAGTGGACAGAAAGAAGATGTCTGCCTACAGGAGGTCCAAGACTTCGGCTGTAGATGACCGCCCATCTGCCAAGGCTATTGGTAGTACAGGAACCGCCATCTTAGTGTCCGTGTTCGTGTTCATCGCGTGTATGGACTTAGACAGGGCTGTGAAGTTCATACAACATATCTTTAAAAAGCGGAGCACTGGACAGGTCTGATTTTCTTGAGGACATGGTTACCATTTTAGATCTAGTTCCAGCCATGTTAAATGGTTTGTTTGTTTGTTGTTTAACGCCGCACTCAATATTTCAGCTATATATAGAGGCGACAACGGGTGATCAGGCCCACTGACTTAGTTAATGCATGTCATCGTACCCAAATTGCGTGGATCGATGCTCATGATGTCAATCACTGGATTGTCTGGTCCAGACTCGATTTTTTACAGACCGCCGTCATATAGCTGGAATATTGCTGAGTGCGGCGTTAAACAACAAGTAAACAAACAAACATGGTGAGATTATCCATGTGTCCATCACTGGGTTCAAGATGCGATTATTTACAGACCGCCGTCATAAAGCTGGAATATTGCTGAGTGCGGCGTTAAATAACAAACATTATTTGAGTAAGCAGGCTAGTGGTACATGTGGTACTCAACCACTTCAGTCTTCATTCACGACATGGATTAACTCTGACCTTTGAGAACGACTCTTTCACGTGTATCATGTGACTGACAGGTGTGTACATGGCGTGTGTATATGACAATATATCATGTTAAATGACAGATGAACTCTTTGATTGTTTCCTGCTTGTTGTTCCTGTGCCATCCTTGTGTCTCTATTGTCTCTTAAAATGTGACGCATGTATTGCATACGTATGTGTGGGAAATCTGGCATGAGCATGAAATATACATGCATGTGGATGCAATATGCTTACAAACTTATAATGCACTCTATTAAGGTGCTCAACAAAATGTGATGTGCTACAGCAACATGTCCGTGTAACTTATAGTGACAGTAGTGACGGCGGAAAACTTAGTAATATACTGACACGACATCCATACAATTATACCAAAACTGAATTGATCATTACTGCATGGATTGGGATTCATTTGTGTGGAAAGAATGAGGCACTACAGAAATTTGGTGAAAAGATGGAAAAATCACAAAATCAACCCCTTTGAACACACCAACATGGCATGCACGTGCCACATCAGTTGTTGGGCTACAAAAACTATGTTTTTTCAACGGAGCACCAAGCACCATTACAAGACTGAGAAACGGTTATCAGACACACGGGACAACACGAGACCTTCCCAGATCCGGTCAATCACGTATCACTACTTGGACACAGGACAGATTCATACGGCTACGTCACTTGCGTGAAAGTACCACCACAGCCACCTCTAATACCAGGGTTGCGTTGGATATCAGTCCAGACAGCGAGGAACCGTTTACGCCTTGAAGATATTCTCGCCAGACGACCAGTTCGAACATCGTTGACTGTGTTTGTTTGTTTGTTGTTTAACGCCACACTCAGCAATATTCAGATATATTTCGGCGGTCTGTAAATAATCCAGTGATTAATATCATGAGCATTGATCCACCCAATTGGGATCGATGACATGCATCAACCAAGTCAGCGAGCCTGACAACCCGATCCCGTTAGTCGCCTCTGACGACAAGCATAGTCGCCATTTTCGGCAAGCATGGGTTGCCGAAGACCTATTCTACCCAGGATCTTCACGGGTCTCGTCGACTGTGACATTAATGGCTCCAAGGTCCAAGGTCACAGAGTCACAACTGCGATGGAGACAAGTTTGGTTGAGTCACATTTTATGCTTCGCCGTGCTGATGATAGTTATATATTTGGTGGTGGTAGCGTGCTGATGTGGGCAGCCATCTCCTACACTGGTAGAACAGACTTCGTGCAAGTTCTGAGGAATTTAACGGCACAACGTTACACGCAGTAGATTCTTCGGCCAAGCGTCCTTCCTATTATGCAACAAGCGAACGTCACATTTCAAAGAAGACAACGCCCGACCTCACACGGCAAGACTGACAGCTTCTTTTCAAATCACAACACCCAGGTCCTGCCATGGCCCTCCAGGTCTCCAGTTTTAAACCCAATAGGACATTTATGGGATGCAATGAATCAACGACTGCACGGAGCACGGAGCAACAACCACAGAACCTCCGACAGTTGGCACAATCACTGCAGGAATAGTGGGTGAACATTCCGAAGGCCACAATTCGGGATCTGATTGCCGCAATGGGACGACGACGCCAGTCAGTTATAGTGCCCATAGAAGCCATGGGACGGCGACGCCAGTCAGTTATAGTGGCCATAGAAGCAATGGGACGGCGACGCCAGTCAGTTATAGTGGCCATAGAAGCCATGGGACGGCGACGCCAGTCAGTTTTTGTGGCCATAGAAGCCATGGGACGGCGACGCCAGTCAGTTATGGTGGCCATAGAAGCCATGGGACGACGACGCCAGTCAGTTATAGTGGCCATAGAAGCCATTTGACGAAGACGCCAGTCAGTTATGGTGGCCATAGAAGATATTGAGAACAGAAAATCTACTGTTCCAAGTGTGCCATATGGAACCTGGGTCAATGACAATGATGTGTGCCAATTTTGAACAATTATCTGTTGATTATTTATATGATATATAATGTATGTCACTCAAATCACTTTTGCGGGTTTATTTTTTTTGAGGAGTACAATAGCAACAGTAATTGCTTAACGTGTGAGTGAGTGAGTTAAAATTTAAGAACTTCTGTAATTATTTTTGATAGACATGCTGCAATCCATGTGGAAACATTGTGGTACTAATGAGTGTTGGAATAGTATTGTTGTTAATACACCAAAAAAACAAATAGGGAAATATTTGTGAAATGGACGTACATGATACTTAATGTGTTCTCTTCAGATTTTACGTCAGTCAGAACGGTTCATCCAACATCAGTAATGTGTCAAAGCGTACATAAAATGATTATTCCGCCTAAGACTCCCTGAAAGTTCGAGTGGAGATTGCTTGAGGTGTTCGAAAGTTGCAATAGCCTGGTTGCGATATCTGCAGTCAAATATCGTTCAAACAAGCCCCATGGGTACTTTTTTTTAAATTGACCTATATCTCCGACTTGCAATTTACAATGATGTATGCGTAATCATCACTATTTCCAACTGTAACTAGCTTGAAAATGTCACTCACTTTATATATGCAGTTGAAAATACTATTTTGATAGGCAAGATGTTTGTGTGAAACTGATTGGAGTGTATCCACTTGCCTTTGCATGTGTTTGTGACGGGTGCCACCTGTAGGCCAGGATACATTCACTTATTGGGGAACACCTGGTATCACCACTGTTTGATAATGTGATTGATGACCACGTGTTTGTGATATCAAAATCGTTCAATGGACTTATTGCTTATGAAAGGTTTTGTCGCTTTTATTTAATAAAACGTGACATTTGTTACGCGTCCTATTGCAAATAAGTTAACGTCTTACGCACTTCATTATTCCTTCCCGCTGGGGGATGGGTGGCCCAGTCGTCCACGTTGCTGCAATTCGCTGTAGAGAGTTCGATCCTTTAGGCGTCCAAGAAATCATTAATCGTTGTATTCGAATCCCAGATTACCCGTGATCATGTTTCTTGGTTTGTCTGCACCATATCCGTTTTCTTGGACACCTAACACCTGCATCACATCGGGCTTTCCTCCCAAATCAGAAGTTTATTTGTTTGTTTGGTTTTTTTTGTTTAACGTGACCCTCAGTAATATTCCAGCTATATGACGGCGGTCTGTAAAATGAACGAGTCTGGACCAGACAAGCCAGTGATTGACATCATCAGCATCGATCCACGCAATTGAGATCGATGAAATGTATCAACTAAGTCAGCGGGCCTGACCACCCGATCCTTTTAGTCGCCTCTTTCGACGCATAGTCGCCCTTTACGGCAAGAATGGGTTGCTAAAGACCTATTGAACTTGCATGATGTTCACTAGTGGCGCCAAGTCCAACTCGCGTATATAGTATTCTGCTTTTATCCTTGCAGATTGTAATCAATAATACACTGTAGCTGATAGCTAACGATTTGTTTTCATTAATTGCATATTGGTCTATTGATAAATGGTGAAACATGTTCACAAGTAGGAGTACTTGACTTAACACTATGAGGTGAGGTGAGGTGAAATGGGGTTTAACATCGCGTCCAAGATTATTGCACTTATATAGCGACGTGCATGTTCGTGTGTGTTTGTGTGGCTGATTGTACTAGTCCGGACTGATGCCGATTTATAGTGCTAGCTCACTGAGATACCATGCCGCAGTTTAACATGAATACCCCACTCAGACACAGTATACTGACTCAGAGCCGACCAGTCCTTGTTTTAGCCCCTTAATGCCGAGCGCCAGACAGGGTAACAACAAGTACCATCTTTAAAGGTCTTTGGGTATGACGCGGCCGGGGATCGAACCCCGGACCTTCCACTCCCCAGGCGGACGCTCTACCACTAGACCACGGAGGCGGTCTCTTAACACTATGAAGGCACACACACACACACACACACACACACACACACACACACACACACACACACACACACACACATCACTTTAATTTCATTTATTAAACACTTCATCGTGAAAGACTGAGTTGTCGGAAGTCGAGCAGAGATATTTTCCTTGCAGTGAACACAACACTTCATATTTCACTGCAGTGAACATGACACATTAACGGAACTATTGTCATACAAGAGTTACCTCCCCTTAAATTGTCTCCCTTTATCGTAAGTGTCGAGCTCGTACACAAACTGTTGACGTGCTTCTTACGTTAATTCCGCATTGACAAGGCAAAATAATGACAGATGCTCATATATGGAGTTAATATCGCTTCTTGCCGTTTGTTATTCTCTCGAAAATGTTTCGTTATAATCTGAAATATCTCATTTAACTCGTCAATCGAGAATGTTCGTTTCGCAAAGCGCCATTTTTGTTACTTGAGCAGCGTGTATTCTTTCGCTTCCAACAATGGTCTCGTAGTTTCAAGAATATTTTTTGTTAAAGTTGATTTTGTATAGAATCATATCTATATGTATGATAAAGAAGTTTCGTGACCCTAAATATTTTTTATACCTTTGTTTATATTTTTTTAAGATTTGCAAACACGGAACTACTTTTTAAGTCGCAAATACAATGGGTGGTGAACCGTCCCTGTTTGTTAGGTAGGGAGAATTTAGGTTTCAACTGAAGGTTTTACATTTGTAATGGAAAAAAATAGTTTTCCGGTAGACAACTACACAAAAAGTATATAATAAATAGGATATTTCATGTGTCTCCTGAAATATCATGTTTCTCTCATCTCTTGACTGGGGGAAAGAGATATTTGTATTGTATATTGATTCCACTAAAATCACTTTTGCATGATCTACGTTCACCTATGATAAACGACATGTAGTTAATCTTTACTACACACCTGGAATAATGCCATGGACAGTGTACGGTATCCAACTCAACTAAACGTAGCCAGCTTTTGACATGCGATATCATTTATAAATTTTCCTGCCAAACATACTTTTTTCTTTTTTTCAAAATGACATATATATTTGTATTACAGAAATCGAAATGGACTATGTTAGGTTTGTTTGTTCAACAAAAGGTTTTCGCTCTCCTCTCACTTGCTTGCCCTGCTGTTTTGTATCATATGATTGACGCGGTGTTTGCGACCATCTGGAGGAACATACAGTGTTCTGTGATATCTAAGGCATTTATACATCAGTGTCATGTGTAGATATTTACACAGATACATGACAGTTCAGAAGTGCTGGTGCATAACTTTCATGTATTTCGGGGAGTGTAGTGCTACCAAAGCTGTAGACTTTGGGTGCACCAATTTGATTTCTCGGGGTGGGGGGAATCAATGAACAGTTTGATCGGAAATATGCAAAAAAACAAATAGTGGCAGTGGTGAAATAAAGGAAGTTTGAATTTTCAATTTTAGTTCTAATGACTGTATTTTCTTGAAATCAAATTATTAATACAATTATGTAAAACGGAAGTCGTTGAGTTGTTGTATACTTCAACCCTCGTGTTCACTCTTCTCACTGTCATTTTTTAGGAAGAGTTACCTATTAAATGGAAAATCTGTCTCAGAAGATATGGTGTTACAAACAACAGGAAAACATAAAGAAATTTTAGATTTTTTTTAATTCTCAAGTGTAATTGTGAAAATCCCATTGTCTTTGGACGGTAGATACAACAGTAAAAATACATATAGCAAACTGTTTGTTCGTTGTTGTTTGTTTATTTGTTGTTTAACGCCACACTCAGCAATATTCCAGCTATATGACGGCGGTCTGTAAATAATCGAGTCTGGACCAGACAATCCACTGAGTAACATCATGAGCATCGATCCACGCAATTGGGATACGATGACATGCATCAACCAAGTCAGCGAGCCTGACCACCCGATCCCGTTAGTCGCCTTTTACGACAAGCATAGTCTCCTTTTACGGCAAACATAATCGCCTTTTAGGACAAGCATAAAGCAAACTGAAAAAGTACTCTTCCCTGAGGAATATACAATTCCATCACTGTGATCACGTCACAAATACGCATTCGTTGCTTAATTGATGTATCTTGATCACAAAAGAAAGAATTACATCGGTGGACTTGTTTTTATTTATATTTTTATAGGTTCAACAGGTTTACAAACAGGACCCCTGTTGATAGGTACAAAATATTTTGTGGAAAATACCCACCCGTTATTTTTCTATGTGAATATTGTGAAACTGAATAGATTGTTCAATGATGCTCTGTAAAAAAGGTGTTTTGGATATAGCTTAAATATAGATTGTAACGGTTGCTCCTTTAATCTACTTGAGTTGACTCACAGGAGATGATTTTTTTTAAAAACCATCCAAAAGTGTTACTTCAATGAATATGTCAAAATTTAAAAAAGCAACGTAAACACCAAGTTTAGGTGAGGTGAGGTGAAATGGGGTTTAAGGTCGCGTCCAAGATTATTGCACTTATATAGCGACGTGCATGTACGTGTGTGTGTTTGTGTGGCTGCTTGTAATAGACCGGACTGATGCCGATTTATAGTGCTAGCTCACTGAGATACCATGCCGCATTTTGAATACCCCACTCAGACACAGTATACTGACTCCGAGCCGACCAGTCCTTGCTTTAGCCCCTTAATGCCGAGCGCCAGACAGGGTAACAACAAGTACCATCTTTTAAGGTCTTTTGGTATGACGCGATCGAGGATCGAACCCCGAACCTTCCGCTCTCCGGGCGGACGCTCTACCATTAGACCACGGAGGCGGTCACCAAGTTTTGGAGTTTCAATGAAGGAGTAATGGGAACTACAATAAAATATCAAGTGATGACGACAAATTTAATAATAGCAAGAATATGTGCCCAGCATTTCTGATATTAAGTACATGAATAAATAAACAACAATGTATAATAGGAATAGTAAAGAACATTTAGTGATCATGTGAAATAAACTGACGTGATGTCTTCCTGTATAATCTATACAAGGGTGTTATACATTTGATTATCATGCTGCGTGTAGACGGCTGAAATAGGCACATGTCAATATAATTTTGTGAAATTATGTTATATTCACAATGACGTATATTTGAGAAAAAATATAGTTTATGTTCTCTTATACTTGTATGTTTTACCACAGTTAAAATAAAGATTGAAATGGTTGGTTGGTTGGTTTGTTGTTTAACGCACTCAGCAATATTCCAGCTATATGACGGCGGTCTGTAAATAATCCAGTCTGGACCAGACAATCCAGTGAATAATAGCATGAGCATCGATCCACCCAATTGGGATCGATGACATGCATCAACCAAGTCAGCGAGCCTGTCCACCCGATCCCGTTAGTCGCCTTTTACGACAAGCATAGTCGCCTTTTACGGCAAGCATGGGTTGCTGAAGATCTATCCTGGTTATTGAGCTGACAAAGGATCATAATGAGGACGAACCTGGGATTGGAACCAAAGACCAACGGATCCTGGCACAATAAAGGGACGTAGCTCTTCACAGCAATCTGAGGCGCCTCTGACTACTTGGCTGACAACGCCTCCAAAAGGAAAGTAGGTACTCAAAATAAATACTGAATATTTGCAAAAGAAGTATGATTCTGTTACGGTAATATCGTTTTTACTTCTTTAATGAACACTGCACCTACTGCTCCACTTGACCCTGTAAAAAGGCGTGTGTAGTTATACTGCAGCTGCAACTCCTACAACTGTGCCTTGATAATGAGGTCTTGATGGCAATCGCTTGTTCGTGCACAAGCAATATCTACTAGTATATAATAATAATTATAATAATAATAATAATAATTACTAGTATATAATAATAATAGTAATAATAACAATAACAACAACAACAAATTACAATAATAGTTGTTATTATAATAATAATAATAATAATAATAATAATAATAATAATAATTATCCATTTATATGGCGCTGTACTCAATGCTCTTAGCACTAAGACATTTCTTACCCCGGTCAATGGATCAATGTGCACTCAACAATCATTCTCTACTTCCCGGGGAGTATACAACCCAAAGCTGCCTGTTAGGCGCCAGAAGGTTAACAACAACATTGCCATCTAGTCCTACCAGGTTCCCATTCACTGCTGGGTGAACAGAGACACAATTAGAACAAAGTCACTTGCCCATGGAGATACCACATGTGCTGCGTGTGCTTTAGTGCGGACCTGAAGATACATATTTTGTTACTTTACAATTAATTTCCATCACGCTATGAAACAGTTTGAGTTACAAATATATATTGGATTATATATATTAGAAAACAGAAATTGAAAACATGTGCAATGTTGAAAACGTTTTAAGGCTAAGGCGTTTAAGAATTACATAATATCAAAGTCGGCATTTAACACAGTCAGTTTCCTTTAAAAATAGCTTAGATGCCATGCTGAATAGTCTCATCATAAACTTTTCAAAGCATCTACATCTACAGTTTTCTTGTGGCAGATATTTGAAATCGAATTGCTCTCCTAAAATACACCTTGAAACAAATATGGCCAATGGTTTGGAATACGGTTATAGCTGATCTCCGCTTGTAGAGCACATCAACTTAAGCATTTTAAGCACTCGACGCGTTCAGTTGTCTGTATCGTGCCGTCGCTCGTATGATCCCGTCCACATCCAGACAAACGACGAGTGCAGTGACGACTGCGATGATGGCAATCCCCGTACCGCCGATAGCCTTGGCTGAAGGACGGTGATCCATGGCCGATGTTTTGGACCTTCTGTAGGAGGAGAGATTCTTTCGGTCAAGGCGATTGTCAAAGGCGTTGACGATCATCGACGTTAGAGGATGCATGGATGTACAAACACAGTGGCATTCGCTCGGCGTAATGGAACCTGGGGAAAATGAATTATGCAGAAGTAGATATATTTACAGAGTACTTTAGTGTTTCATCATGTTTCAGTCCCATCGCCCACGGGCACTTCGAACTGTAAGACCCGTGAAGATTCCGGGGTAGAATAGGTCTGCAGCAACCTATGCTTGCCGTAAAAGGCGACTATGCTTGTCGTAAAAGGCTACTAACGTGATCGGGTGGTCAGGCTCGCTGACTTGGTTGATGCATGTCATCGATCCCAATTGGGTGGATCGATTCTCATGATATTAATCACTGGATTGTCTGGTCCAGACTGGATTATTTACAGACCGCCGTCATATAGCTGGAATATTGCTGAGTGCGGCGTTAAACAACAACCAACCAACCATCGAACTGTAAACACATGATGTCATCGGACGTAAATATTCTCAAACGTGGAATGTGATTAGATTAGACCTCTCGAGACAACAGTAAACATAAATTTGCATGATTTGATGGCAGTGCATTGGATTCAAAGATATAGGACTCTGATTGAATTCAACTGCTCTCTACGCCTTTCCTGATAATGGCAATCTCATTAAAATCAGATCTAAGTTCTCGCTGCCGCTTTACAAAGACCTGAGGACGTCAGAATGACCTTTTGCGAACTTTGACCGACCACTGAAACAAGAAGTCGCCATCAGCCAATTAGAAAACACCTTTCTCGAGCTTTACGGCACTCGTTTCAACCTGGCGACTTCCACTTCAGACTACGCTTGAAAAATATGTTGACACAGTTCTCGATTAAAATTTTGAAAACTGAACACACGAACATTCCGGAAGGTGTTATATATATATATATGGTTGAGATTGTATGGCAGTGCTTCCCACGTACTGTGCAACGCCTCCTCCGTTCAAATGTTTATCCCACGGAAGCGAGAGATAGACGATAATTTTGACGGAATCAGTCGTTCGGGCCGTAGCTGTCGTTCGGAATACCCCGTGTTAACGTTTTCGACTTTGAATGATTAGAAAACACATTCCGACTGTCACTTTCATGATCTGGTAAGCGACGCATTGATTGGTCGGATGAAAGGTCGTTCTGACGTAACCCGTAATGGGATGTCCTCAGATCTTCGTTCAGCGATAGCGAGAACTGATCCCATGAGATCTGATTTAAATGAGATTGTGATAATGGTACGTTCCCCGATATCGTACTGTCGCAATATCGTGTAAGTTGCTCGAAAACATCATATCAAGGTTAGTTGAAAGAACAACCAGCATCAATGTTTGATTTTAATATAAAAAAGTTATTTATGCGTGCAGCATGAAGTTTTAAATATTATTAATTGATATAATATTGACAGAACTCAAATGTGAAAATTGATTTCGAGTTTCCAAGCCCGAAAGTTATCACAATTATAAATAATCCCTGTTTCAAAATTCATGGTCGCTTTGCATTATTATACAACGTCCTTGATAATAACAGCAGTAGGCAAATCTTAAGAGAATGCATTCTTACCGATACTTGACGTCAAACAAGGTGTATCGGCAACCTGGTTGGAAACATGAATGCTTGACTCCAGTCCCAGAGAAACGCTGACAATGGTCAATGAAGGTTTGGCGCCCTCAGATGATGCTGAATCCACCACATCAGGAGACGTGGTGATTTGTGAGGATTCAGATATGGTCATGGTTAAAGTAACCGAAGGTACAGCGTTCGACTCTGATGCTGTATTAGCCATTGTGCTGTCGGTGTATGACGCCACATTATCAATACTCCAGTGCATATTTAGAGTTGTACTATCGATGAAGCCAGCGGGTGAAGTTGATGAGTACAGAATAATAGACGTTTGCATATGTGAACTCATTGTGGATATCAGATGGGATTCGACAGAAGTATCGCTCGCACCGCCGGATGCATTTGTAGAATTCATTGAACTGGACGTCATCGAACTTGCGACTGAGGTCGTCTCAGGGAAAGTATTTGCGGATGTTGAAACACTTTCATTAGCAAGATCACTTTCACTGGAGCTTGTATATGAAGAATATATGGCCTCCGAATGAGTGTCGGTTAAAGCAGATAGTTCATTATTGGCAGTTGTACCTGGATATGTAGGTGATACTGATATTGGTTCTGACGACATAATAGATGTTGATGACATCACAGGGCACGCGGTTATTGGGTCAGTGTCTGTATTTTTGTTAACCGATAAGGCAGAAGACTTGTAATCACCTGAAACATATTATATGATGACTCTTTAAACAAAGAGAAACAAATGTTTCTTAATGGCACCAGTTTGTTTGTTTGTTTGTTTGTTGCTCAACGTCGCACTGAGAATATTCCAGCTATACGACCGCAGTCTGTAAATAATCGAGTCTGGACCACACAGTCCAAATCCACGCAATTGGGATACGACGACATGCACCAACCAAGTCGGCGAGCCTGACCACCCGATACCGTTAGTCGCCTCTTACGACAAGCATGGGTTGCTGAAGACCTATTCTAGCCCGGATCTTCACAGGCACAAGTTAGTAGGTAACGTTCGTGATTGCATACCCCAAAAACAATTCTCATCATATTGCTGAAATATTCATGACTATTGTTGTTTTTCTTCACACTGAAATATTATCACAACATGAACTACAGTAGGGCTGAAGTATCAGTGAGATGCTAACATTATTTGTGCATTCGTTTGTTGTTTAACATGGTTGTATTCCTGCTGTTGGACGTCAGCCTGTAAATAATGAAGGCCGTTTCGGTACGATGATATGCAATCTACCAATAATCCATTAAGTCGCATCTTACGACCAACACAATTTGCTTGGACCAATTCTACCCGAAGGGGTTAAGACATAATTAAGATACGTGTACACCTCATACATTTGTACCTTCGACACACCGTTTCACCAAAACTGTTTTTTCAGACGAAGACGTCATTTCCGGATTGTCGTTTATGTACACCCGCTGCCTGGTATAGACCTTACAGGGTTCAGCTGAACGTTTCTGGCTATCGTAGACTATGGCCACACATTGGCTTCTTCCGGTATATGCGAGACATGTGAGCTGGCAGTCATCAATGCTGGCATCGATGGAGGAGGCCAGATCAAGAGCAAGAACGTCCTGGTTTTCAAATCTTTCAAAGGTACATACTTCTGGTGGATATATAAAATATATTAACTACAGTAAGCTACGGTTATAACGAACACGCTTATAACGAACTTACGGATATAACGAACTTACTTTTTTGGTCCCGACTATTTGCTGTAGTTATGCTGTATATATGCTTAAAACGAACTACGGTTATAACGAACTGACATTAGTAGTCCCGTTATAGTCCCGAGTTCGTTATAACCGTACTTTACTGGCGTCAGACAATGCAGGAATGGATTTGCTTTAGGGCCAGGTTCCGGTTTCAAAAGAGATCTTACGCATATATATTAACATAGACTTTTGACCTGCACTGCGATAGGTTTTTGCAAAATGGATCAGCAAGTAAATGTTAACTCTTTACATTGGACATTGTACCCACACACAGTGCCCAGACAAACTGATACATGTACATATAATATTATTGTGCGCTACCAAACCTATTTATGTCTGGTGTTGGGAAACGACGGATATACGGACGTTTTTTTGTGTATAAACTTAATTCTCCTTGGGCACAGCCTGTGATGCAGGTCTCGGACGTTTACCACTTCGGTGAAATCCACGAGCACGGGTATGATGCTGACAAACTTAGAAACATAATCGGGGCGAACCGGGATTCGAACCCACAATCATAGGTTTCTGACGTGCCCAAGAGACGCATCTCTGCACAGCGAATCGCGGCGCCTCAGACGACTGGGCCACCCGTGCCCCCTATTTCAAAACAAGTAAATGAGTGAAGGTTTAGTACACCCACTACATCACGATTTCATGTATTGCACGACTTCTTAAACGTTCATCTCTCAAGCGCACAGGAAGGTGTTGAAACCTTGACTTAGATAGAAAACCCTCTGTCATGTTCATAATTTCATAGACGCGTTTCATTTTTCACACTGGGCTGGCTACAACAGAGGGGCCGGAATACTGAGTGTGAACTCCCGACATTATCAGACATCCGGAATAGTTGTTCAAATTTCACTTGGCCACAAATGCTACAATGAACGAGCCCCAGTCTATATGCCAACAAGGGGCCACCAATATGTACATATCTGCATTCTGAAAATGAGTGAGTGAGTGAGTATGGTATAACGCCGCTTTTAGCAATATTCCAGCAATACCACGGCGGGGGACACCAGAAATGAGCTTCACACATTGTACCCATGTCGGGAATCGAGCCCGGGTCTTCGGCGTGACGAGCGCACGCTTTAACCACTAGGCTACCCGACCGCCCATTCTGAAAATGCTACAAGCTACTTTCATAATTCCATATTGCATGTTGCTTTATGTCACAAGATGTTATACAACATGATACATTGACCAAGAATGAAAACTATAGGCCCTTTGACAATTACCACTCGGCCTGATACTCAACACAATTTAACGTAGCTTCCTACCTGCGGACTCTTGACAAACCACTTGATAGTCAGCATCACATGCAACTGAGCGAAAATAATCGTTTTTAACATGCAGCCGTATGCACTTCTCTGTCTCGGGGTGGTTTGGTTCCCATGATTCCCAGAGCCCCCAGGCTCCAACTGGCTCACAGTCATGCCACTCCAAGTTGAACACCCCAGGGTCGCTGAGTACACGTTGGTGAAGCCCAGTCCATATATCTTTCGTTCTGTAATAGAAAAGTTATTTATCGTAATGAACTTGAGTAAACTCTATGACAAAGTCATTTTTTTCAAAATAAAAGATGTGTGTATGATTTGCATTTGTATGCAAACGCGTGATAAGATAATGCACCTTTTTCCAAAGGTTGATTAGTTGGTTGGTTTGTTGTTTTTCGCCGCACTCAGCAATATTCCAGCTATATGACGGCGGTCTGTAAATAATCGAGTCTGGACCAGACAATCCAGTGATTGACATCATGTGCATCGATCCACACAATTGGGACCAATGACATGCATCAACCATGTCGCCGAGCCCGACCACCCGATCCCGTTAGTCGCCTGTTACGACAATCATAGTCGCCTTTTACCTCAAGAATGGGTTGCTGAACCGTCGTTACTCAGTGCTCAAGATTGGGAGGTTTGATCCTCTTTACGCTAAGATCGCTGTTTTGAATTATATTAGTCTGTGGTCACACAACAACCGAGCATGTCACACACAAATCACAACAACCGAAATCCATATTTGATGTCTACTTCGTAAGAAACCACTCCAGAATTTTGGAATGACTGATCATGTGAATATAGGCACAGCACTTTCAATATTCTGATGCTGCAGAATTAAGGAACGACCATTGTATCAATGGAATTGGGGGTGGGTTGGGTTAGGAGTATAAATTATATATCTTGGAATGTTTTGTCGGAGACAGATAATCGTTTTTGGTCACTGCTGCACACACAGTTTTGTTCATCGAGAGTTGGAACCATCATACTCAGTTAGGGTTTCCAGCGAACGAATTTGTTTTCGTAAAAACCTAATGCCAAATTATTTTTCCAGTATTTACCCCCACCCAACCAAAATATATCCATTTGTCCCTGTAATGCAATGAGACATAACTAGAGCCTATCAGTAGAGCATCCCCTTATCCTGATGGTAACCCAAAGTTTGAATGCGAGATGTCATGCAGAAAACGTTAGTTGAAAGCCTAAATAGACAGTTCTCCGCGAGATTCTCTCAAGAAATAGTTTCCATAAATTGTTTACACACATCTTGTTATTGGCAGTCCAGATGACTTTCCACACCAGGAAATTCTCATACTTGTCCTCAGTGTCCAGCTTGACCATATGCTGGCCATATGACTCACAAATTGCACGAGCCTCGTTCCAGGTTTTAGGCGTGCCGTAAAGCGTGTACTTTACTGCAAGTGTCGGTGTCGTTGTCGCAACATCTGAAAGATCATGTGGGCTTCCAATCACAATCAAATTGTCTCTTTAGCAAATCAAGAATTCTACACCATGTTAGTTGCCAGCTCAAAGATATAGATTTAAATATTTAAGGGTTTGAGAACGACATTTCACTAGAAAGAAACAAAATAGTCTTGATATTGCAGAATCTCGTATTATGACGCTTCGACAAGGTAGACCAGCTCAGGACGCAGAAACTCCAGTAATGTTAGAAAAGTCCAAAGCAACAAACATTTGTGAGAGACGCCGAAAATAGATGATGAACACGCCCTGGGGCTTCATAGTGAGTTAGTGAGATAGGTTTAACAGTATTCCAGTTATATCACGACCTGTCAGCTTAATGTTGGAGGAAAGCCCGAAGTGGTGCAGGTCTCGGACGTTTACCACTTCGGTGAAACCTACGAGCACGGGTATGGTGCTGACAAACCTAGAAACATAATCGGGTCGAACCGGGACGCAACTCTGCACAGCGAATCGCGGCGCCTTAGACGACTGGGCTACCCGTGCCCCCCGGGGCTTCATAAAAAAAATCCTTTAATATATGAACATTAGATGGTGTCTGAATCACGTATTGTCACAGCATGAAACTCTTTTCTGTTTGGCCTGCTTCATACACTTTTTGGTCGCATATGCTTACTCTAAGTTCTTAAGCCAAGACGAAGCTATGATGTTCCTGAAGGAATGATGAAAACCCTTATTGTACAATACAGGAAGTGAAATAAGTTAAAATGCCCTATTCGCAGGCTTTCATAATTACGAGCCACAGCCATACACGAGGAATAGGTCATGTGGCCCTGTTTCGACTACTTATCAATTTCATTCAGTTCCATGTACTCATTATTTTGTGTTTCCCCCGAATATGCGACATCCAAATCAAGAACATGTTAACGTTTCAAATTCATTGACACACGCACCAAATGCCTGAGATATGTGAGCATTTTTTAAATCATTTTTACACCTCAAATCGCAATATATATTTGTTAACGAAATTATTTCTCTGCATGAAAAGAAATAATTAAATTATTTTATACAGGTTCACGATCAGATTTGTTCGTTTGTTTGTTGTATAACGCCGCAATATTATCAGTGGTGTGGTGAGGGTGAAATGACTTTGCTAAATAGTTTGTTACATCATGTAAAGTGTATGATCACTTTTGAAATAATAGCCTTATATTTTCCCCATTTTCAAGTTTCCAGGGGATGCTTGACATCATGAGCATCGATCCACGCAATTTGGATACGATGACATGCGTCAGTCAAGTCAGCGAGACTACCCGAACCAGTTAGTCGCCTCTTACGACAAGCATAGTCGCCTTTTACGGCAAGAATGGGTTGCTGAAGATCTATTGATCACTTTAGCACTTTGGTGACACCCACGAGCACCGGTATGGTGTTGAAAAACACAGAAATGTAATCGGGGCGAACCGGGATTCGAACCCACAATCATAGGTTTCTGGCGTGCCCAAGTGACGCAATTCTGCGCAGCGAATTACGGCGCCTTAGGAGTCTGGGCCATGTGTGCCTCCTGACGCCTGGGTGATCTCATGACTTCATATCAGTATGGCAATCTTCTGAAACGAAGCTATTGTTGTGAATTGGTCCGGGTACTTACCATAATGGAAGACAGAGGTAAAACCCTGGATACTCGAGGATGACTCTTACTGACCACCATGCGACAATTACACTGGGTACTCATCTCATCCAATCAGCTCGCTGAGCCTCATACTTACCAATAAACGCTGCTAGGAACACGATCGTTATCTCCTTCACTGTTCGCATACTTAAATTGTACGTAGCAAGGGAAATATCAGATGCGTCATCCAGATCTTTGCCTTTTGGTGTATCTGATGAAGGAAAATTGGTTGCCATTGAAATAACAATAGTCAAATACTACTAAAAAGAGCGACCAAAGATCGCTGAGTGAGTGAGTGTGTTTAGATACAACGTCACAATGGCGTTATTTCAGCCATATAGCTAGGCTAATGATATCAGTATACCAGAGAACGGTGGCACCAGGGTGAAAACACTTAATAAATTCTTCATAAAGAATAAACACGCTCTTAACATATCCGCATCAATATAAACCTGTAGCATATGTCTTTAAAAAAGTCAAGACATTTTTGACAACTTTAGAGGCTTCATGAGCATGTAAGGCATTCAATGTACACATTCAGATTCGTGATCGTCATAAACTGAGGGCCCAAAGAAAGTATACCGAGTTGGGTTTTTTTGATTGTGTCTTTTAAACATTACATGTAAGTAATCTGTAGCTGGGTAGTTTTGTGAAAACATAAATTGGATCAATGGAGACTGGGGGGTTAGAAACGAATTTCCAACCCCGTGATCCCAACCATGTTTGAAATATTCATTGGTATAATATCGCTAACTTAAAATATTTTGAAATGAAATTCAAACATATAATAAAATTAACTGAGAGGTATAGTTTCTTTTGATCCTCAGCTAATGTTAAAGAAATACGTTTGCTTGTTTCTTTCTTTGTTGTTTAACGCCGGACTCAGCAATATCCCAGCTATATGACGGCGGTCTGTAAATAATCGAGTCTGGACCACACAATCCAGTGATTGACATCATGAGCATCGATCCATGCAATTGGAATACGATGACATGCATCAACAAAGTCAGCGAGCCTGACGACCCGATCCCGTAAGTCGCGTCTTTCTTACAAGCATAGTCACCTTTTCCGGCAAGCATGGGTTATCCCGGATCTTCACAGGTCTAACGAAATACGAATAATATTTGGTTATATCTGAAATACGTTTTTTTTAAAAAAAAACGAGACTCTCATCCTGAATTGTTACTCCGTGCCCGTCACATAAAATCGAAGGTTTACCCTGATTTTGTTTGTCAGCACCATGCCTGTGCTCGTAGGTTTCACCAAATTGGTTTAACGTCTAAGCCTGCCTCGCACGTCGTGATAAATTGTGGCGCCCAAATTGCTGAAGGCTAACAGTGAAACGGTACCAAGCTAGTTAATACATCGGAAGGAATGCGTCTCATTAAAACTAAAAAACCTTTACTTTGAATCAAACTTTAAAGTTTTCTTTTCTTGCTGCTTTTGATAATGTTGAAATTTAGGGACATAGTTGCAAGAGGAAGAATGTCTAGCCAGAATTGGATTCCGTTTCCAAAACTCCAAAACCTTTCAATATCTTTTAACATCTTTCAACTATATCAAACAGATCCTGAAGTGGTGCATTTGCTATTTGCTCCATTTTCATGGCGGTAGGTGTCGTTTCCGGAGCACAACTTGAAAACTATGAAATACTTTTCATCCAAAGCTGGTACTCGTATTTACCAAGGGCTGAAGTGGTGCCTTTTGCTGTTCAGGAGTTTTTCGAAATTTCATTCTCACCTGTTTCCATGGCAACAAGACTTTTCATCTAAAGCTGGTACTTGTATTTACTAAGGGCTGAGGAGGTGCCTTTTCCTATTTAGGAGTTTTTCAAAATTTATTTTTTCCCCTGTTTCCATGGCAACAAGTTAGACTTAGCTGCAACGGAGGTGTCATTTCCGGAGCAGAACTAAACAAACTATTCAACATTGTTTATCCAAACTTGGTACATGCATTGATCAAGGGCGAAAGTGCTGCCTTTTGCTATTTAGGCATTTATGTTTAAATGGCTTTAGTAAAATTTCATCTAGATGACCGAGGAACATCAGATGGTGATACAGATTTTAGAATGGTAGGAAAATGATCATCCTCGACTGACCATTCAAATTCAATAGGTAAGTTGGAATCTTCAACTGATAAATCCAGACAAGAGTAAGCTCCAGTTGCAGGATGTAAATATGTGTTAGAACCATCATTAAAAATGCATAAATCGTTTTTTTAAGAAAAAGTCCTCTAGTAATAATTATTAATTCTTTGCATTGCTGTCATTACTACCCGAAAGTGGGTTATGGCCCTTTAAATCTCCCATGATAACACAGGGCTTCGGAAGCTGGTCATAAAGTGCCTGAAGTGACTGTCGAAGAAAATGTATAAAACATATATGTACTGCCACAGAGAGGTATTTAGAGGAACAGGACTGTGAATGACGCCCTGCCTGACCATAACAGGAGATCCTCCAGTAGCTTTATCACCCGGAGGAGAAAAACAATGGTAGGAATCGTATTGTCTTAAATCAAAATTAAAGAGTGTTTTTGAGGACAGATTCTTTGTAGACAAAAGGCTGATGGTTTGAAATCTTGAATTATAGCTGAGGATCATTTAATTAATAGAGCGACTCATGGAGGCTCAGATCCTGATCAGGGGGCAGGTCCTCTCTGCTGAACTTGCAGTGGTAGAGTCACTTCCATGACCTAAGCTGTTGTGAACCTCCAGAAGAACAGTCAAAGGAGTAGGCACCTCAATATGTTTCAGGGCTCTAATCTATTTTCTTCTTAGTTGGTCGGGCGGTCGGGTAGCCTAGTGGTTAAAGCGTTCGCTCGTCACGACGAAGACCCGGGTTCGATTCCCGATATGGGTACAATGTGTGAAGCCCATTTCTGGTGTCCCCTGCGGTGATATTGCTGGAATATTGCTAAAAGCGGCGTAAAACCATACTCACTCACTCACTCTTCTTTGTTGGTTCCGTTCTTTTTTTGCGAGTCGTTCATTTCTTTTCACAGGTTTTGGGTGAGTTGAATGGTCTGGGGAAGTGTCAGGCCGAGTGTTTGTTTCTGATAGAGTATCAGGCACTGGTTGAGGTTCAGCTGGAAGCATATAGCTGGAATATTGCGGCGTTAAACAACCAACCAACCAACCAACCAACCAATGCCTGTAAATAATTGAATCTGGACTAAGCAAACCAGTGATTGATATAACGAGCAACGTCCCGGAAACATATGATTGTGGATTGGGCTCAATTAGCCCTGATTATTGTTCTAAGTTTGTCAGCACCATACCCGTGCACGTTGGTTTCACAAAAGTGGTAAACGTCTGAGACCTGCATCACTTCTGGCTTTTCTCCCACATCAAGCTCTATCACGTTATATTCCTAAATGCATGTTTAAACCTCCCTCACTTACTCTAAAATTGATGTCATGTCTAAACTGATCATATACAGTTTAACAAGGGCCTAAAATTTAGGGCTGTTTTAAGAATGAATTATCATGATCATAGTAATCTCTTTTGTTGCGACAACATATTTTCTGTCAGCAGATTATTTATAATATATTTTTTTGTAATCAAAGTTGTCAATGATTTATTAGGACGGTTACGTATTTTGCAATATCCTTTACTTCCTACATGGTTTATATGAGGTTATGCGATTGATAATCAATAACGAATTGTATAAAATGTATCTTGAGCATCTAAATAGTTAAAATAAAACTAAAACCGAAAAAGCTATGTAAATAATTTCACGAAAAGCATACCGATTACCGAACAGGCCTATGTACAAACATACATGTGCGTGCGTGCATACATGTACATACACCCAATGTCAAATTCTTTGCTTAGCAGGTGTTTCTTGTCACCTGAGATGGGCCCACTGGCTCCATTTCTGTGCCCCGTCATTCCTCATGTGCCGCGGCTTCTCGGCCTAAAATTTACGGAGAAGGTCGGCCAACTCAGAAATCGGAATATGGTAATTCCGTCTACGGATATTGTCTCCGATGACCACTTGGTGGGCACGGTTTTTTGGTGGGTTTTTTAAATTTCAGTTTCTTTCCTTACCTTTATATGTTTTATGGTTTCTCAAAATCTTGGAATTTGTCCCCGATACGATAGTGAATCGGGTTTTACTTTGGGATTGATCAGGAGCAGTCGCTTTGATCTGTGTCAGATAACATCTGAGCAGGGTAACGACATTGTGTTCATTGGTGCTCCATTCCTGTCATTTCCGAAAACAAGGCATCAAAGTAAGTATCGCTCATTTAATAAATCAATTTCGTTCACCTCAGTAATTTTACAGAATTCATTTTCTTCTCTTGCGTTATTAGCATTGAAAGATCGCCATTCCATATCCAAAACGACGTGAGGACAATCCATTTTATTTCATCTAGGCCTAGCAGCTAGACGAAATTTTAAAAACACCAGAACCAAAACATTTATTTATTATTAAGTCAGACGAAATTACAAGAGAAAGGCAAAAATACTAAATTAATTATATTCCTGATAAATGCACGGAGAAGGTCGGCCAACTCAGAAACCGGAATAGTATAGATTTCTAATTCCGTTTACGGATATTTTCTCGTCCCCGATGATCAATCGGTAAAACAGGCAAGTATTTTTTTTTAAATTTTATGTTTTATGGTTTCTCCAAATCTTAGATTCTTTTCCCGATGCGATAGTGAATCGTGTTTTAGTTTGGAATTGATCAGGGGCAGTCGCGTTTGCTCTGTGTCAGCGGCCAAATCTGAGCAGGGTACTACATTGTTGTCATTGTTGCTAGATTCCTGTCACTTCCGAAAACAAGGCATCGAAGTCAATATCGCTCAATAAATCAATTTCGTTCACCTCAGTAATTTTACAGAATTAATTTTCTTTACTTGCATTATTAGTATTGAAAGATAGCCATTCCATATCAAAATCGCCGTAAGGACAATCAATTTTGTTTCATGTAGCAGTTAGACGACATCAAACACCAGAACCAAAGCATTTATTTATTTATAAGTCAGATGAAATGTTACAAGACCAGGCAAAAATACTAAATTAATTATATTGCTGATAAATGCAGGGATTAAAAAGAACATAGAAAAACGAATTGATCGTAAACACCGATCGAGAATTCGGGGAAACCCTGGAAAGTAGTTCCTGCAAAAGTTCACAGGATTAATTTCACAAAAAATTGTTCAGATCGTGTGAACTTTTTTTGTCCGTTCACAGGTGTGTGAACTC